ATAGATAGATAGATAGATAGATAGATAGATACATAGATACATAGATACATAGATAGATTCATATATAGATACATAGATACAGATAGTTACATAGATAGATGTCCTAATATGTGAAACCTTTGAACCCAAATAAAGATGTTCTTACTTATTACCATGGCCACACATAAAACTCTTTTAAAAATAATTTAGTATGTTTTGAAATTAAATAAATATAAAAAGGTTTGCACCTGGATGAAACATCAGCCATGTAGGAATCTGAGCTCTTGCAGTCGTCTTTTGCTTCATCAAACGTTTTGGTCTCAGTCCCAGTAAAGTAGCAGTAGGAGCCATATCTTTTCCAGCCCTTGTTTGGAAACAAATTATATAATGTATTTCATCATATTATGTGTCTGCACACAGTAGTGCTATAGTATTATTATTGCTTGCTAACAATGCAGTAATAAAGAGTGAGTCATCCGGGTATTGACTGGTTTGTTCATGTTGATAATAGTGACAATTCTGAAAAGCACAAAGAAGGAAATGTGCCAGGAGATAGACAAATAAGAGGAGAGTTGAGAGTCTAGGAGTGAGAATAACAACTCTAAACATAGGCTCTATGACAGGCAAAGGGAAAGAGCTGGCTGACACAATGCAAAGAAGGAAGGTAGATGTTTTATGTCCCAAGAGACCAAGTGGAAGGTCAGCAAGGCTCGTAGCATCGAAGCAGGGCTTAAACTGTTTTACCATGGCGTGGATAGAAAGAAAAATGGAGTAGAGGTGGTCCTGAAGGAGGAGTAGGCAAAGAATGTAGTAGAGGTGAAAAAAGTGTGGAATAAGGATACAGTAGGAAGGCACTTGGTGTGTCATCTGAATAGAGAAAAGATGGTAAGGAGACCTGGTGGTGGAATAAAGAAATACAGGAAGTTATTCAGAGGAAGAGTTTAGGTATCAAAAAAAAAGGACAGCGAGAAGTCTGAAGATATTAAACAGGAATATAAGGAGATGCAATGTAGGGCAAAGAAGGAGGTAGCAAAGGCAAAACAGGTGTATGACACGTTGTACAAAAGACTGGACACTAAAGGCAGATTTGTAGTCACTGAGAAGCTCCTTGACCTCGTGTGTACTGCTGACATGGGTGCATGAGGAAAATTACTTGTTCTTCTAGTCTGACATTCTGCTGACACACTGTCTTGTGCAATACCCCAGTCAGAACTAGTTTCTTACAGGGTTTTCCACACACATTGTGTGATTGGTCAATGCAGTGGCTGCAGTGATTAATATTGAAGATGCTTTTCATTCTCAGATTTGTAGGAGTTTTTACTCACAGTCCTGCAGCCTGCGTTTTCTTCCACTTCATCTCCAGAGGGTTCTGGAGAACTTGTTTTCATACAAATGAAGCCATGTTTCTCCCTGCAGTCACGATCAGCCCAGTTTCCACTCTACAAAATAAAATTGAAAAATGCCAGTTAACACTAGATGTACCAAAATGAAGGTAGGAACTGGAAGAGGAAGGAACTCCCATTGGTTAACTTTTATTTACAAGGCACTGCTTGGACTCCTGCCAGCCTATATTTGTACTGCAATTGCAGTGAGAAATGTTGACCCTTATACTTTTCACTCGCATGATTTGCTGCTTCTTTCTGTCCCTTTTGCACGGACTGAATTGGGTAAGAAGGTTTTCGACCACTCTGCTCTCTCTTCTTGGAACTTGCTACAGAAACTCTGAGACTGACTGAATTCATTTCACTCTGTGCTTTTACATCCAAACTAAATGTTATTGAGGCCAATTCAATGACATGTACCTTTTTTCATAGCTAGCTTGTTTTATAGTATCGTATTTTCCGGCGTATAAATCGCAGTTATTTTCAAAGATTTGTCAGTCCTGCGGCTTATACGCATAAGCGACTTATATATGTTTTTTTCCATATTCATAACACAATTTTTGGCTGACACTTGTAATTTCTAAGAACTACAACAGCGAGTCCTCCCGTGTGCGCTTGCTTCACTCAGCTGGTGCAGGTGAAGGAACACTGGAGAGCTAGTGGCTCCGGCCGGGATGGATGGATGGATGGATGGATGGATGGATGGTGCTGCATCGTACCGCAGAGACGAAATGAAGCTGTTTTGACCATTACAGTGCATTTATTAAGGAAAAGTTAAATTGAGACGCACCTTTGCTATAATGTCGAGCAAACAAATAATTGTTTTTAAGTGTTAATCTTGTTAAATTTCTAAGAACTGCAACAGCGAGTCCTCCAGCGCACGTTCACTTCTCTCAGCTGGTGCAGGCAGAAGAGCGCTGCAGATCTAACGGCTCCGGCTGCGATGGATGGATGGATGGATGGATGGATGGATGGATGGATGGATGGATGGATGGATGGCACCGCGCCACCCAGACAAAATTAAGCTGTTTTGACCATTAAATAAACACATAATAAATGAGACTTATATATGTTGTTTTCCTCTTCATGATGCTTTTTTTGGACTGATGCGACTTATACTCGAGAGCAACTTATACTCCGGAAAATACAGTACCTGTTTTTTATAGTTTGACTTTATTTTTTAACTGTTTAATTTTTTGTGTGTGTTGTATTTGCTACTGACTCTTGGCCAGGTCTCCATTGAAAAATATGTTTTTTAATCTCTTTTTTTTTTTTTATCCTGGTAAAATAAAGGTAAAATAAAAAAATAATAAAATGAACTTAAAAACTAACAAATGATGGCACATCTGGTGATTTTGCACGTTTGCCACTAGAAAGTTCCTATTATTTGATGTGAACTGTACAATGCAAAAGCTTTCATATTATTAAAATAAATTAAACATTCTTTGTTGCAGACAGGATGCTCTTTCTGTTTCTTTTAGACCAGTCTTTTTATTTCATATGAATAGTTTTTTAATGCCCTATTACATAAACCATTTAGGAATAAAAATAAACCCTAAACTCAGAAAATACACTAATGTGTACCCACAGAAACTTACCAACAATCTTGTTAAGTTTTAAAGTTTTTTTTTACGTTATATGTAAATTTAGTGTAAAGTCCAAGCGTTAACTTACGAAGGTATTTGATGCTTCTTTATGTGAAGTTACACCAGAATAAAAGTTTAGTCAGGACTTAGACTCATCAGACAATTCAGGTAAACATGAAAGTTCTATGAAATATTGTATCATCTGCATAGATAATTTTTTGGACCTGGTTAGTTTTAGTCACAGAACAAAGAAAAAGCACCATGTGACGATCCATACCTCGCCCCTGATAAGAACACAGTCTTCTTGTCCTGGATTGGCAGCTGGTTTCCCAAACTCCCAGCTGGTGAAGCTGACTGTGGACTGGTCAGTCCAGTCAAACAGGCCTTCTGTCTTCTTGTCATTGAATCCAATCCAAAGCTCGTCTGTGGAAGCTACAAGCAGGAAAATTAATAAAACCATTTCTGGAGCACTAAATCAGAAGAAATATTTTAAATGTGTTTAACTTGTATAGTGCTTTCTGTGTCATTTCAGTAGCAAAATGTAATCCCTCAACAGAATCAACAAAAATATTCTAATGTATACCTGCAGATGATAAAATATTACCAAGGGAGATTAAAGAGCTTAAACACCTGAAGGAATCCAAAATGGTACATTTTAAGGGAGCATTTTAATTGTTGCCGAGGAGGATACCTGCCTTGCTGTGCAATTTTATGAAGATTATTTTTGCCCCAAAGCTTCAGGATAAAATACTTACTGTGTTCATTCATGTAAAATATTGTTCAACAGCATTAATTTGGCTCAGATTTGCACATAGTTGGATTTTTACTGTGGAATCAGTCAACAACAATGAATATTTTTAATGTGATGGAATTTCATATTTTAAAGAGTTGTTTCACCTCAGGTGGAACTAATTGCTACATAATAATACTTGCTGGGGATGTTCCATGTCTCCTTGTAGAATACCTTTGCAGAAAATAAAACTTTCTGACCTGGATATGTAGTTATTTACTATCTATATGTATGTACTTGTTATTCAAGAACCCCCCAAACAAACAATAGCTATTGCTTGTATACACAGTAAATGAAATACAGCTGAGAGGTTCTGAATACAGAAATCTACTATTCTCTCTATCATAAGATAAATAAACAAACTTTAAGAAAAGGACAGTAAACTCAAAACAGAACTGTTTTTACCGTAGCCAAGCTGAGAGATGACAAAGCTTTGGTCCTCCACGTTGCGGATGCTTGTGAGATCTCCACCTTCTTTACGGCATGCTGACCGAGCATCAGACCATGTTTTCTCCGTACGATAAAGGTGGAAGCAGTGACCGTTGTATGGAATCCATGGCGCTGAGCAGAATCCTGTGTTTACACCTGGTTACAAACCAAGCAGAAGGAAACAAAAGCCATGAAGTAAGGATTAATATGACCGCTGAAGATTTTATGGGGGGGGTAAATAATCCACCTTTTTAATTTAGTGTAAATTGTATTAATGTTTTCCTCTTTGTGGATGGATTTGCTGTCAAGTTACCTCATCTGTCCAAAAAAAAAAGATTTTGATTGGATGTAAAAAGCTAAATCAAATTTACATTTTGTTTGAAATGTAGTACAAGAACAGGGAGTTCCACCTGAACGCAGGCTTAAAAATCTGCTGCCTGACTGCTGGCTTGACCAAAAGCATCAATGATTGATGGACCAGATCGGCATTGTGCATGAGTAGAGCTTTATTATTAATAATAATAATAATAATAATAATAATAATAATAATAATAATAATAATAATAATAATAATAATAATAATAATAATAATTACC